ATTTCTGAGTGTTTCTTGCTGATGAGTGAAAGCAACCTAGAAGTGCCCTATCAAGTTGGCCCTTAGTGCTTTTCTAGACTACTGTCAACCTCTCATCCCCTGTATTAGTGGAACAGCTGAAAACTAGCTTCATTTTATCAGTTTCGGGCTTCATATTGAATGTTTAGATTCAAGAGCTGTCAGTTCTCTGTAATCATGAACACTTTACCTTTATCTACTTTGAACAAGTGCAAGCGAATTTGCGTGCGTGAAGTAATGTACTGAATGTAATATCGCCCCTAACAATAATGAAACGAACATGGAATAAATTGAAAAAAAATGTAAGAAATACAAAATATTAGATATATGTTAGATAAAAAAGCATTTTAATCAAATAAGCACCGAGATAATGGGCCATATCGATCTTTCGATCTGTAGAATTCCTGTTGCTTGTTATTCTTATGCGAAAGGTTGCAAAAGATTGTGTTATTGAGCGGATAACGGCGGTGTCGTATGATTGGTGTTAAGACAAAATGCAAAGGCCCCAAAATCGACGATCACCAGAGAGCAGGACAAAATCATATCGACCCGAGAGAATAAGCAAGCAGAGGGCACTAAATGGGTTTGCAGGAATAATCTTGAAGGTAAAAAAATCTTGTGATTTTGATAGCCTGTATGACAAAAGACACACTTATTCCAGGTAGGGATTAATAGGGGAGACAGTAATTCCGTGACGATCACGTCAAGATATGGGATGGTATACAATCATTTCGGTGGGTTAACGTAAGTTATTTGGTCCAAAATAACATCAAGAATCCAGTAGCAAACCATTACACTTGTAGTATGTACAAGTGATTGGCACCCTTCTTAGCAGTTTTGCTTTACACAGCTCATTTTACATAAAGTTAATCATCCAAATAACGCCAAAGTTGTTGAAGATTATTTGATTGTCTGCTCACGCCGCTACTGTTTAATCTAGCCCATTATGAAACAGGTGGAGTTTGAGAGGAATAACGAATTCACAGCTGCTGGTCGGCAGAACAGGATTATGATGTTTGCGGGCATATCGGGATACGCTCCAAAATGATTGGTAGGTTTCTTGGCGAAGTTTGTTCTGATCTCTGTCGAATGTGCAAACAACAGTTTGAATATTTGCAAAGCTTAGTTCTGTTGACTTCACATCTCGGTTCGAATAATAGTGATGTGAGAGACAGAGTTATCGTCATTGTACCATGATACAGGGAAGTACGTGCAAAAGGGAAAGAGAGAAGAAAACCTCAGGGCGACTGCAGAAATCGCCAGTTTTGATTATGGTTTTAAATTCAATCAAATTTGGTGAATACGTCGTTCAAATTTTACGGAAACATTTTGGTCGTGGTCATGAGATTTTATGTTGTTTGGACTAGTGATTAATTAAAACGGATAGTAGTAATGAAAGGATGGTAGTCCGTAGATACCTAAGATAATCCTGAGACGATAATATGTCGAAAAAATTCAAGTGGAAGAACAGATTGCAGCAAATATGAGGAAGATGTATGGAACTTGGAGACTTCCTATAGTGCTGTCTATGCGAAGTGTCAAGCACATACCACGTAATCGCACGAAGGGTATTTGTGTCTAAGTGCTGGCCTTTAGGTAGCTTTCATCATATTTTCCCTGAAGTAATTCGAAATGGTGGGACCTAGAAGGAGTACTAACTGACAAATAAGAGTATTTTTATTATGTGAAATAAATATAAACGTTTATGGATAAGATTATGGACTCTGTCCCACGGGATTGTGTGAGACCGCATGCATTAACACATAAACACACAAAAGGGTGGCACAGAATCAAAATTCTAAAGAGTAATACTGGTAGGTGGAGAGAGAGACAGATTACTGAATCCTGATTCATCGAGTCCAGATATGACTCAAAGTAAATACCAGAGATATGGAAGATATTATTACCAGTCAATTGGAGAATAATTAATAATGTCAAAGTGTATTCAATGCACACTATAACATTCTAGAAAGTTACTCATTTTTACTATAAAAACATCTTATTTCTCATCTGATTGTATTTTACTGATAACACTAATATTACTTCCGAATGTACTCTATCTTATATTGACTTTTGTCAAACGTTAAATCAATTTTAACCATGTTTATAAATGAAAAAAGTTGTGTGAGTAACTTGGTATGATTATGAGTAATAAATTATGCCCGAAACGTCATCAGCTGGTATTACTGTACAACACTGTGTGATTTATCAAAATAAATTCTTATCCGTAATGGAGTTATAATCTACCACAGTGCCCACATTTTATACTTATATCAATAAAATATAAATACAGGAACTGAAGTTCTACCTATGTTAGATGAACCAGTAGACAAATTATGAGACGAGGATTTACACTGATAGACCTGGCAGTTGCGACCACACACTTGCCTACCTTGGAACCCAGCCTCCTGCAAGAGCAACAGTTAGATGGGCTGTTTCCACGTCGTTGTCGGTTACGTACAGTAGCGTTGCGGCGAGGTTGGCTAACAGAGGCGGCGGCAATTTCTGCACGAACTGTTCAGAGGGAGCTGTTGTGCCTCACTCTGTAATTGTGATCAGAGTCCATAAGCCGAAAGATTGTGTGCTTAAGATATAACATGCCGCTTTGCAGTAGTCGGATACAAGTGTGTAAATCACTGTGGAGAAGACCTTCCTAGAATGGCCTACAAACCATTCCCATGGATATCAGTGTAAGTCAACATGCTTTGAATAACGTCGAAATCATGTAAGGGGGTCTCTACAGACAATCTTAGCTAAGCAGCTGCAGCATCGCGGGATTAGGACCCAACTGCAAGTCGAAACAGGAGTCCATTATACCCCATTTTCAACTTTTGGAGTTTATGTTGCAAAACTCAAAGGCACCAGCTCTTACGAAAGCTTCATCAGAGAGGGCAGTAGGGGTGTGAGCATAATGGTCGCACGACCAGGCTCGGTACTGAAAATGCTACATGCGTTCCTTGCACACCGAATAGCTCAAAGTGTGTTAAAAGAGTGACGGCTGGTGAAGAGCAGGCAGACCGGAAGCAGTCGATTCACATTCTTCCACGACAAGCTAAGGAGAATTACGAACCGAGGAGAAATCCACGTTCTATAAGCATTTTGACACCCCGGCACCAAGTTAATGCCGCCTGGATGCTATCTCCTTGGCTCGGAACTACTCTGGATACGGGAAATCTTCCTCACCAACTAGCGCAAGAGGAAGAGCAAATTAAATTGATTTTAACCAAAACGGATATTTCTAACAATGTTGATGGAGCCACCTGAACTTGCGATTTTCCTTTACACACGCTGTGGTGAGAGCTACCTGCAAGCCGAAATTATAGATAACAGTCTATGTCAATGTTTACGTCCCAAATCGGGGTCATGAGAAAAAACACGGACAAAGCATAGCCTTGAAGAGCTCATCAACAAACCACAGGAGAGTTAACGTGTGTAAATACGATTCGCAGATATATGACTTAACTTTCTGAGAAACAGTCAAAGAGATGCAGAATAACCTCCCCGCGAAAACAACCAATGAGCATCTTTGCTAACAATAACACTAATAATAATGTACACAAAAATCTATAAATATCTCTTTATTTTCTCAATAGACGATTTGTTGCCTGGTCCTTGTCTACTGTCGTTACTGCTCAACCTTGTATTTCTAGCGATATGACTAAGAGGGAATAGAACTAACGGAATGAGGAAACAAAACAAACGCAAGGTGAGGTAGGAAATGAATACAGATATGTAAGTAGGTAACTGTAGAAAACTGGAAGTAATGAATTTAACTGATCGGGGAAAAACAAGAATTAAGAACCAACCAATAAAGATGAGCTAAATATGTGGGCTATTTTAGAACTAGCACAGATAACTGGAACTAGTATGCATCTCCTACGTATATCTTCCAGTCTTTCATTTTCGCACAGGGTACTAGTCTTTCCTTGAAGTTATCAACTGACGTTAATGGGTAGTGAACTCTTTAAGTGACAAACCCCAAAGTAAAGCGATTCAGCCTGTCAGAGTGGCTCAGATCCTGTTCTGTCTTTGGATGGGAGAAGTCGGTCTCATGTAAACGTTTTAGGAATCCTTGTTCTCCCTGGATGAGTACAAGTTTAGTCTTAGTGGTGGAGAGGTAATTAGGGCATGATGTTCCCCCTGCTTAGCCTGCATAGTCTAACCTGTAGGTTACACAAACTGGGTTTGTGGTGCGAGGCTCCTCATTTTTGTTCCTGGAAGAGGTCCTCATTAGCCAGAAGGCAGTCACTACTATTTATTTTTTTTCTTTTGATTACAGCTTGATTCCACACTGTATTTTCAGTACAAGTATGGAATTTTCAGCATGGATATCGGTAGCCCAAATTTACAGGCCGACCATAGATATCGGGTGTGCGCCGGCAGGGGATCGAACCCCAGACCATGTGCATGGTCGGCGAGAGTCCTAACCACTGTGCCACCGACTAATGTGGGCGGTGAACATTGTCACAAGCTGTATTAGCCTGTCTGCAATAAATGTTGACGAGCTTTCTAGTTGGATGAAGAGCACGTGAGGTACTACTATCACTAGTGGTTTCAAGACGATTGCCAATCATACTGTAACGTGCAGTCTACTGTGGTTCGCTCTCACTGCCTGTCTACATGTGTCTGTGGATTACACTGTTCTCGGTTGAACGCCGATGTTGCGACAATCTTCATCTCCCATTAAGGAAGGAGATCAGAACCTGCTTTGGTAGCTCATCTAGTTCCACAGGGCTTATTGGATTTGTTGGACAGATTTATCAAAACCACGGACAGTAACTGTGCAGCTCCATTACATCCCTTCCTCAAACATTCCGGTTCAGTCAATCAACTGGAAATCAGAAATGGCTTGAACAAAAGCCTCTTCGGCTGCCCTTCTTATTGGGATGGTGTTTTGTATTGGTAGGACGAATTTGAGAACAATCAATGCGACGAACCAACTAGGATCAATGTTTTAATTATCAGAACATTGTTTGAAATTTCCGGTATAAAATCAACCCGGTAAGGTTGTTTCGTTTGCCAGGTGTTAGGTAATTTGTTGACTTGTGGCTCTCGGTCAAGGTGATGGAGATGTCAATACATTCATTTCTCGTGAAATACATTGATGGCTTAACCTAATGACTGGAATAAGGTCTACGATTTGATATCACATACTGTTTTGGACTACAAGGCTAAACATTTTGTTTCATTCCGTACTGAGTTACTCTTGTAAGTTGAATATGCTTCTAGTACATGAATTATAGTGATAAGACGTATTCAAAAAATGTTGGCGTGATTTGCCCTAGTCAAAGTAGGGTATTCCACACAGGGTTCCTATCTTTAGATTCTCTTATTCAACCATACTATACATACTCGAAACCCTTTATTTTTCCTATTTCTTTGCAAGCAAAGGTAATATATGGGTGTAACCGCGATTTATTCTTGGCTTGCCTCCATATTAAATATGCTGACAGAAACAGGTGTATTGGTTGATATAGCAGTTTAGACCTCAGCGCCTTTTTTTCTGGTTACGAAGACCATTCAGATTTCGAATTGATGGTTTTTAAATTCTGCAAGGGTACAATGAGCGGAATCTTCGTTATGCAGCAGTTTTGACGACTGCATATAATGTTTCCACCAAATTGTCATAGTAGAGGCATGGATATGCATATACTTCCGTTACTTATGTAGTTGGTAGAAAAGCATTCAGGGGTTTTGTTGGCCTGGTGTAAAGATGCCATATAATAAGGTTTTCGTGTGACGCAAAAGAAGAAACATTTCGGTTTGATGGATCAAGTATTATGATTGGGAACTAGTAACTAGTGTGACGTGTCTAGTCCTTTCTCTGGTGCAGACTGAATTCCATCTGTCAAGTTTGCGATGTGGCTACCATTCTAGGTAGCTCGCCATCACAGTGCACATAGATTTGATGATATTGGATAGTTGAAAGGATTATACACGTCATACTGGTTACTAGTATCCAATCAAAATACCCATTACAGTCCTACAGGAAGTCAATCGCGAGCCCGAACATCTCAGTGGTAACGTCTCTGACTGCAGCACTGGGTGACGCGAGTTCGAATCTCAGAAGGGACATGAGTTCCTTCAAGGTTGCAGATACACCTTGCTGACGAGTGCCAACTAGCACGAAACCTAAGTTCAAGGCATCCTGGGGATTGCCTCCAACTACCTAATAGGATCAAGTATTACTAGATTCCTAAAGTTAGGATTGTGTCATACTGATTGCTTTCACGCCTAGTAACCGATAGTTATACCGAAACCTTTAAATGTCATTAAATGGGGTATCAGGATATCCACTATGTTTATTAGGGAACTAGACTACGAAGCTCTGTGGTCGTTAGTTACTGGTTCCATCCCCTGTGACTAGTGCATTCATGGTCTCCGAAACTTATAGTTAAGTGTGCTCTTAAGATAGTGTTTCAGGGACTTTCAATGAAAACCTCAATCAGCTTTATTTGGTTCTATTTTAAAAGCATTGGTGTGTCCCTTCAATAAGTATCATTGTTAACTCACTGTTTGTTAGTGTTAGCGAGAGGAGGTTAGATTATAGTTAGGGGTGTAGTCTGGGTCTGTTTCTGAATCAAACCTCTGTCTCCATTCCCAAACTTCACTAACTTGGCTGGTGTGTATGACCTTAATTTATCTGTTCCATATCCGTGTCCTAGTTGTGGCACATTGAGTTACCCAGTCTTTTTTTTCTTTAAACCTGTTCATTTTATTACATTACGCTGTAATTCAGTGTTCACTGTTTGTCACTCATGGGTTGTACGCATAGTCGTAGCATTCGGTATTCGCTCACTAGTCAGTCTGCTAAACATTTTTGCGGTCGACTTTGAACTGCATCTCATTTCTCAAATTTTAAGTGTTCTATGACATGAGCTCTTCCTAAGTATGTTAGGTAATCTGGCGTAAAATTAATAAATTCATTAGATGTCAAGCATTTACTGTATGATAACTGATCTTTGTCTTCGTTTGCTAAGCCAAACTGGAATTTGTCTTAATCAGTATGCTTTAATGAAGCAATGTGTGGTATGTCACTGAAAATGTTCACGGCTTGAAGCTTGTTTGTAAATAAAAAGGAATGTTTCTGCCATTTTGTGACAATTATGTGAATAGCTTACTTCTGATATACACAGGGAAACTAACCAATGCCTGCTTTGCGTATTTCAGGTCAGGTGTTGGAAGATATAATTACGGATTCAGTAAGTTCTCACAACTGTAAAACTTTCTTAAAAATCACCATATCTTACATTTGAGTAAATGAATGATGTGTTGTGCATGTTCACATGTTTAATTCCGTTATAAGGGTAAACTATCTTTGGTTGCACATTTGACCTTCAGCAACAGGTTTACCCATCTTTTCCGTTGTTTCGGAATGCCAGCCATGATGGAAAGCACACAAAAGCCTTCGCACCAATAACAAGGTCAGAGTGCATTTTTGGGTTTTTTTTGCACTAACTGCAACCAATTTCCATTTCAAACTTTTTAGAGCTGAAATGGGGTGGAAATTTAAAAGCGTCATTCTGTCAATAGTTCAAGTAAGCATGCAGGTATAGTGTGACTGGTGGTATCCTACTGTAGGTTTTCTGGTAATGTAAGATGTCTACAGCCTCCTCGTGATACAGGTGATATCATAAGCAAATACGTAATCTCAGTAATTAAGTGGAGTCAAAGTTATGTTGCTAGTTTCATCACATATCAATGTTAAAACACCGTGACATGATGATAAAGAGAATACTTATTGTCCAGTGGATGGAATATATTACACTTGAATACCAGTAACGTTATCTGGCTGTGGTTATCCGTCTGTTATTACTATTGGCTGGGATAAGGTAGCAAGATTGGTCAACTGCATTTTGAGAAGCCTATTGCTGTTGTTTGCTTGCACACTACACTGTTTCTTACATTTTAGTCCTATTGTGTTTATTGTACTGTGTACTATTTTGTCAGATCGAGTACCTTTTTCTGTTTTTCAGACATGTGGCCGCACTTTTCAACAGCTGCTTGGACAAAGTCCCTTATTCATGGGCCCCCAGCAACAAGTGTTGGAGAGCAGATGAGTACTTCAGACGGTTGGGCTGCACTTGCTAAGCAGTGGGCTAATCAGCGTAACAGTCATATACAGTCCAATTATGCAAGTGCACTTGCTCCTCCACCCCCTCCACCACCGCCACCGCCGCCGCCGCCACCCCCTCCTCCTCCTCCACCACCACCACCACCACCGCCACCTCCAAGTATAACCACAGAATCAGCCCAGTTGCAGCCTGACACGGGTAGCATAGTTCCCAATACACCACAAGTCAATACAGACCATTCTTTAGTTCAGAATCCTTCGGTCTGTGAGCCTGAAAACAATGTGTTGCAGCAGGAAATGCGACAAGCAGCAGAGGTCGCAACTACCTCCCAATCTTCACAGATTACACCTGATAATCCCTCATCTACACGAAACGTGTGGTCTGCTCCCGAAAATCCTACATTTCAGCAAAATGCATGGGCTAAAAATGATAATCATGTCTACTCGCAGGATAGATGGCCTACACCTGGGAATATGTTACCCCGAAATCCATGGTCTTCTGCAAACTTCGTACGTCCACAATGTACATGGCCTGCATATGAAAACCAACAAAATGTCTGGCCTTCATGTGACAACTCTGTATCGTCGCGGAATAGGTGGGAGGCACCTGGGAATCAGTCTTATGTCAACCAATTTCCACAAGCATCTCAAAATATTGCTTCTGTGCCTAACTCTTCTAATGAACATCATAAGTCTGGTATTCGTCAGTTGACTCACCATTCATCTAGTGAAATTGTAGATGGTTCCTTTAGTCTTCCTGCATCATCTTGTGAGGAGCCATATTCTGCCATGGGAAATGCTTATAGTCATGATACTCAGTATCAAAGGAGGTGGAGTCAGGAGGATGACAAGAATTACAATTACAACTCTCATAGTTCAGGAATCAATGATTATCATCATCCCCACAATGTTGAAAGACAATTCAGTCAGTCTGCTACAAGACCTTTCAGTTCTTACAGCGAGCCAAATTCTCGTTTTAGCCAGAGCAGTCGAGACATATGGCCGAGAAATCCCGAACTTCGACAACCAATGGAGAGGTTTCCTCCACCTTCGCAGCTCAGCGATTTACAGCACTCGCATGGTAATTATTTCAATCAAGTTGAAAAGGTAGGTGTACTTGAAATTTTGGAATCTGTCAGTAATATTGTGTTGTATGACCAAAGCGTTATGTGGTGTTGAAGTATTCATCGAAATTAAGTGTAGATGGTTACTAAGGGGACGTTTCACTGTTGAAGTAGTTAAGTAACTTTGTGTTTTAAAGGTATTATTATTATTGTATGTAAGTAATAATCGGTTTATTTTTAAGCCTTAAGTCTTGCTTATGTAATGTTGTAGTTCACTATTAGTCTTTTCATTCCGACGAAATTACTAGCATATGAAGTAAAACTTCCAGTTGTAAAATATTTAACTTGCGATTGTACATTACAAGCAGTGCTGAGACTATTGATTTTGGGATTGTATGTGATTGTGGGGAATATTTTCGTATGCACACCTTTTGTCATTAGCTAGTAAGAAATTTCTTATTTTTGTTGTAATTTTCTGCAGGATCAGCCTAGATATATTTCTCCCACTAAGCCTCTAAATTCAGAGGTAGAGAACGATCAGTTCCACAGGTATCGTGACCAAGACTACCGCGTGACGCAGAATCCTCCGGTTCCGTCGACGGTTATGGGCGATAGTTGGGGAGATGTAGATATCCGTTCTGTTCAAGTTGACGATACTAGTGGTACTAACCCAGCTATTTTTCCCTCTGCATCAAATAAATCCAAAGACGGACTGAGACCCGTTTCTCTTATCCCCACTCCAATTGAACTGGGGTGTAAGCCAAGGGGGCGCAATACACATCTACCTGTCCCGGAACATTTATTGTCAGCTTTCGGTGGGTATCATTTACATTTATTTTTAATGTGTGAAATATTTATCAGTGCCTTTCTCATTTGGAGATGAATACGTCATCAGTTAGGCTTTGTTTCTAGATATTTCTTAATGCTAACCTGATCACCTAGATGTTAATGTGAATCTTGTAGGAAAATGTCGGAAATCTATGTTTAGCAAATAGCTTCATGTTAATTCTGCATCCGTGTACGGAATACTCCTTGAGATCCAAAATTTTTGTGGGTCAAGGCCAATCTGTGCATACCATAACGTTTTATTTTTTGGCATCTTGTTATTCCCAGATCACGAAATCATTTTTTTTTCACTAAGTTGTCCAGTGTAGGAGGATTCCGAGTCTAAAAGCGTTGCAGTCCATAATGCTTACAATATAATGCAAAGTAGATTTTGCACCTCACATAGTTTCAGATAATTTAAAAACTTTAAAATTGGCAGCGTACCATAAAAGTTGGTTTCATCAAGGGTCAACATCATTTTGCGAATTATTGAAACCAAGGGTCATTGGAATGCTGCTTGGTCTTAGTTTAATATTCTTCAGCAGCGCTCACCCATAACCACACCAGCGGTGGAACTCAACCTCTTTTGTTTGTGGTTCGACCACAGCCATTCATTCACTAGGAGGGGATCCATGAATCCTAACTCCTGTCGATTCTGTGGAGCCAATGAGTGTTCTTGGTATCTTTTATCTGCGGAAACACTAAAAAATCGACTGTCGCGCTCACTTAAGAAGACCTTCACAGCTGAACTACGACTAACCTTCTCCACAAAACCTATAATTCATGTGAACGTGAAGGATAAGCTACCGCTGCTGGTCTCATCAATGTGCATTTATCAATTCACCTGCTCGTGTGGAGCCAGGTATGTCGGCCGTACTCAGCGCTCGCTTTCCAAACGTATCACCGAGCACTTACCAACATGGTTTTACAAAGGAGAAAATCGATACCCCCGCAGTTCCATCTTAGAACATCTGATAGAATCCGGACACCAAGCTACACCGCAAACAAACTTCAAAGTCGTCTACAGAGTAAGAAGTAGTCTCCCTAAAGGTGTACGAATCAGACTTCTTCAAACTGCAGAAGCAATATCGATTCACTTGCTTAGTCCTGAACTCTGCATACAGAAGAAGTTCGTCCAATCACTGCACTTGCAATGGACGTAATCTATCTTATTAGCCGACATGTAAATTCTACCTAATCTTTTCTTCTGTCTCTTCATTAGTATTATTTTCTCTCCTCAATTGTAACATTTTACATTTTCAACTTTCTTGTTCTCTACCCCCACCCGATTCAATTTCTACACCTCACTACCACTGTTACTGACTTGAACAACTCTCAGTTTCTAGTCATTCATGTTACGTCATCCAACTTATTCACTCAATTTCACTTCTACTTAATCTCTACCTGTAATTACCTCTGTTGCTATCCTGACCTAAGTTGTAACATTTTAGCCAATTATATTACGTCATCTAGCTTTTTAACTCAATTTTACTTTAGTTGCTATCTGATTAACTCTGTCTCTATACTACATCATTCTTGTATTAACTAATCAATTATCTAAACTTGACAAACCTCATGTACACACACACACAAATATTTATATATGAATGCGATTGTACAGCTATGTGAATGAATTCGCCGAAAAGTCTCTTCGCTGAATGTTTTCTCTTTCCTCACAGTGGACTGTGAATTTTGCGGACTGACATCTTATTACAACTTGATAAAATTCAACCTACAGTTAGTCAATGGTGATCGGTGACGTGCATTTTCAAATGCTGGGTTTGTAAGGATTTGATTGATTGATAGTTAGATTCTGCTGCTAAATAACAACCCTTCGGTGCATTTTCGTTTTCAATCGCTCTCTAATTCATAGTGTTTGTGACGAAATCGACCTAAGAATCTGTAAAATTCCCATAAAAACCCGCATCTGAGAAGATTTAGAAACCTGGTTGTCGCAATAAATCTAGGTAGCTAGTAATACTCAAGATTGATAAGGTAACAAAACGTTGTTGATTGGGTGTATGGGGGGGGATCGAAATATTACCTCAGTTTTCTCTTGTCGTCTACCAACTTCGTTTGACTCGATTATCTCATTGTCCTAGACTTAACGTTTTCGGTGTGAAATTACCATTAATTATAAGTCATACTCTGATGGCATATTTATATTTGTAACTCAGAACAAGCTGCTGCTAGTACTGGAGCTTGGCCTCCAAAGGGATTAGATCTGGATCAAGCCGGAGGTCCTAGTGCTAAACCACGAGCTTTACCCGCTTGGCTTCGGGATGAACTGGACAAGCTAGAGAAGAAAAAGGCTAAAGAATTAGCATCAGTATCTAGTACAACTGGTGAGTATGAAGTTAGCATATTTTTAAAAACTAAACTGCAAGAATCTCTATCTCACTTAATGCGTGAATCTTTGAATACTAGTATTGCTAGTCAATCACCACTTATTGCTTTTGTGGGGATTCAGTATTTTCTTTGTATAACTTAAGCTGACAATCAACAGCCTTCGCAATTGGTTCTAGTTTTAAATTTGATCTTGATTTCTTCAGCATTTCAGTTGGTAGGCAATGAAATGATTGAAGATAAGCAATACACTTTTTTCCACTTCACGTAGAATAATTGATATAAGTATAAAACTTGGGCACTGTGGTAGAGTATAACTCCATTATGGATAAGATTTTATTTTGATAAGTCACACAGTGTTACACAGTAATATTAACTGATGACGTTTCGAGCACAAATTATTGCTTATAATCATATGAAGTTACTCACACAACTTTTTTCCTTCATTTACATACATGTGTGGAGTTGACTAGATATTTGAATAAAAATCCATTATAAGGAGTCTTAGTTTATGTGAAATGTGTAGTATATTTGCGCAATACATTTTGGACATTCCGACCACACGCCTACTTGTCATACATATTTATATAAAAAGGCCTCCAAAGCCTCAGGATGGTCGGGGGTGGGTGCCTTCCGCTGCGGGTTGGCCACCCCTCCGCACACCTCTTGAAATGCTCCCATATGACCGGGCGTCTTACATAGCCTCTCCTGAGGAAGCCCTACTCACTGCCTTCACGTGGCGGAGGTGTTTCTCACCAAAGTGAGAGGGCGAAAGTGGATGCCCGGCGCTCTTCACCGGGTTGACTGTCCATGGGATGACAGTCTAGGGGAGATGGCTAAACCCTGATTCCAAACCTCCCACGACTGGCGTATGAAGCTCACTGGAGCTCACCGGCAGACGTATGGACAAAGGGCTTGTTGGATGTCCTGGATGTCTGGCCCCATTCAAAAAGGCGTATCAACCGAACTCCGGTCACCGGCTGCCAATGGATAGTGGACTCCCTACTCCACTCCTACTGCCTTGTAGGTCACACTTGGTTGTGTAAAGGCTAGAGCTGCACTCTCGAACAAAAAGCCGAGGGATTCTGGGGACTTCACTCGTACCAAATTCCCATGAAACTTCATGAACTCTCTTACAAATGACTCTCACCATGCTACGGCGTTCCCGGTAAGCGACGCGCCCTGTGCTCACCCGGTGGCCAGTGTGAAAAGTAAGCTAGCTGGGAAATTAACAATTAGAAACCAACTATTTGTTGGCTGCTGGAATGTTAGAACGCTGTTGGATCCTGGTAACCAGTCTATCACCATGCGTTCTGTATACGACTACAAGGTGGACATAGCGTGTCTATCTGAAGTGAGGTTACCCGATCATGGCTTCCGCTGAATAGCTGTACCTGGAACAGATTCTTCATTCTGGTTGCTTCATAGTGGACCCCAGAATAATTCAGGACAACATGGGGTAGCATTTGCTCTCAGTAACAAAGCCAATAATGCTCTAATATCGTTCGAACCGGTCAACTCCAGAGTTGCAATCGCTAGGTTCAAGGGTTCCCCACTCGACATTTCTGTTCTCGCTGTCTATGCCCCAACCCTCGACTCTGATGAAAGTGTCAAAGATGAATTTTATGACAATCTTCAAGAGGCAATCAACAAAATCCCAAAGCGTGACGTTCTCATAGTAGCCGGCGATTGGAATGCCCCCACTGGCCCTTCAGACGGCGCGACAAAACATATACTAGGCAAACATGGTCTCGATCAGCACTGCCGTAATGGTGATAGACTTTTAGCTTTTTCTGATTACAATCGATTATATATCACCAACACTCGATTTCAACACCCTAGAAAACATCTCACCTGGTATTCGAACGACGGTCGCACTGCACATCAGATTGACTACATCCTAGTGCGCTCACGCTGGATCTCCTCGGTGGAGGACTGCCGATCCTATCGTGGTGCAGAGGCCGGAAATAAAGGGGGATCAGACCATACTCTAGTTAGGGCGAAATTCAAACTTCGTTTAACAACACGCCAGAAAGCGCGACCTCCGAAGCGTATCAATGTTGCCTCGCTTCAATGTTCGATAAAGCGACAAGCCTTGTCCAAACAAATCCAGGCCGAACTAAGCGCCGCAGATGAGCCAACATCCACATCTTCTAATACACCTGAGACACGATGGAATCATTTCAAAGAAGTAGTCTCTAAAGCTTCAATGTCGCATTTGGGTACCACATCCAACAAACAGAAAGACTGGATTTCAGAGCACACTATGCAAGCCAGAGACGCTCGCCTAGCAAAGTCTCCAGTTTATCGCTCCCTCAGGCGCAAAGCTACACAGTCTGCTAGGAATGACAGAAATCGCTATTGGTCTAATGTGGCGACTAACATGGAAGCAGCATCAAATGCAGGCGATTTCGGAAAACTTTATCGCCTCATACGCCTATCATCTGGCAAACGCCTTAACAGCCATGCTGTGTTACGCACAGCATCAGGAGAAATTATTTCGGACACCAATGGTAAGATGGAACGATGGGCCGAACATTTCAAGCAGCTACTCAATCGCAACGCTGGTCAACCGTCTCATCGACCGATACGACACTTACCGCCACCCTACATAGTTGACTGCGATCCACCCACTCCAACCGAAATAGCTAAAACAATTAACAGACTCAGAAACAAAAAAGCTCCGGGCGAAGATGGTCTTCCTCCAGAAATATACAAGGCCTGCACTCCAGCGCTAATCGATTCGCTGCACTCGCTGTTCTGCTCAATTTGGGATTCCGAAACCATTCCTTCCGATTGGAGCACCTCCGTTTTGCTACCGTTCCACAAAAAGGGAGACAGGTCAATATGTGAGAACTACCGAGACATAAGTCTGATTGATATCGCTGCTAAGGTGTTTGTTACTATTCTCCTGAACCGCTTCGCTGCCGAACGCCACGTGCGAACAAGGCCAAATCAAGCAGGATTTCGACCCGGAAGAAGCTGTATTGATCAATTATTCACACTGCGAAGAATTTTTGAAAACACAGGGACAATTTCCAACAGCCGACGGTTGCTTGTTTCATCGACTTCCGAGCGGCATTCGATTCAGTTGATCGAGGAGCACTCTGGTATCTAATGGAGCTCGACGGAGTTCCGACCAAGCTAATCAACCTGCTCAGGTCATACTACTCCAACACCAAAGCTCGAGTCCGAGTGAACGGTGAAGAGTCTCGCACTTTTGAGGGAACCAGCGGCGTCCGGCAAGGTTGTCCAGCATCCCCCATCCTGTTCAACTTCACAATTGATTGGATTTTGCGGCACGCCCTAACCGAGCACCACGGCGTCCAACTTTCGCCCGATATTCACATAACCGACCTTGAATTCGCCGACGACGTCGTGTTATTAGCTGAAAACTTCCCCGATATGCAACAGGCGCTCGATCAGATAAACCACCTCGCGTCCACTATCGGTTTGGAAATTAACACTTCCAAATCCAAAATGTTTTCGAACACATCCACCAGCAATGATGAAATCTTATACCTGAATGGAGCACCTATTGAAACTGTGCCATCCTTCAGATATCTGGGATCCATAATGCTTCCCAACGGTCAAGCGAAAAACGAGGTGAATGCGCGAATCTCCAACGCCTGGAATGCGTTTCTTCAGCTGAGGAGCGTTCTATGGAGCAAGAGGGAAATCAGTCTCAGCACTAAAATTCGGGTTTACCAAGCCTCCATACGATCCGTTCTCCTGCATGGCTGTGAAACCTGGCCTCTTCGCGCGGAAGATCTGCGCAGACTCGAGGTAGTAGACCATTAGTGCCTCAGGTACATCCTGCATGTTCGTTGGCAGGACAAACTCTCCAACGAAGAAGTGCGTCGTCGTTGCTACAACATCAACCAAATTCCAGTACTGGTCCAGCAACGTCGCCTTCGGTGGTTTGGCCATGTTCTGCGCCGACCAGATGACGATCTGGTCAAATCAGTTCTAAATCCCTCGCCATTACCATCTTGGCGATGTCGCAGGGGTGGACAGCTGAAAACATGGCTTGGTACAGTCAAGGCTGATATGGAGTGCCTGGGGCTACAAACCGTCTACGGACTCCGTCTGTGGAACAAGAATTGGATAACCCTGTCGCAAAACCTTGCATCAGATCGCCGCGCCTGGGCAGCGATGATTCGAGATGTTCATGAAGCCGGCTCATCCTCTCGTAGGAGATAGCCGAAGTAAAGTAAAGTAAGTAAGCATTAGTTAATTGCTTGTTCAGACGTGCTCAACAGATATATTCATAAGATACCATTGCAGAATAAGTACAAGCCTCACTAAAATATTATTAAACAATAACAACCCCCTAATATTCATTCAACGCTACGGAAGTGTCAAAAGGGTTTGATCAATTCAGTCAGCTCTTTACCGTTGAAAGGTGATCACCAAAGTCTGATCACTAAACAAAGATTCGATGCGGCACTGAATAGAACTTATTATGCAGTTAAACTAATTTTCATAGAGAAAACGAGATTTATGTTATCCTGCGAGCCCCCCTAACATCCGAACAGTAGTGTCACCTCCCACTGTGTTTACCAGTTTACATTTGTGTGTGGTCATATGTCCATAGGGAGAACGAATCGACCTGTGCAGGTCAAGACCACATTTCTAAATTGCGTCTTATTGTTTTGTCGGAAATAATGTCGTGATTTGAACGCCGTCAAATCTCGACACTGCTCACTAAGGAGCATCCACAGGGCGAAGCTCATCATAGATTACAAAAGTATTCAACTACAAAAATATGGTAAATAAAATAGTGAGTTTTTATTAGAGAAACGGATATTTTCAATGACTTCAACATTATCTCATTACTAGTATTTGCTATTCAAAGGCGTTTATGTAAACCGTTCTCTCTATATTTTTAGGGTAGCACTAAAAAGCTATGGGTATTCATTCAGCCTTACTTGGGCTCACTGGGCAAATTAGTCTGATCTTTTCATCTATGAATTTGTGCGGTTTTGTAAAGTGCTCAAGTGCTAGCTATTTCTTTCTGTTACAGATATCGTTTTAAGAAATGATGTCTGATTTCATTTTACCCTCTTCGTTAGATAGCTAGAACTCAGTCACCCAGTACTAAACTGTGAGCTACATTTACTTTGTGAAGTCTAATGATACTACGTAGTTGCCCAAAAGTGCATCAGATCAAGTGCAGAGACATACAAAAGTAGACAAAAGAAATCAACAAACGTGTGCAGAATACACACTTATGTATGAATACATTAAGATAAGTGCGAATTTTCAAAATCCAGGTGATTAAAAGGTCATTTCGCACGATCCAGGCCATCTCAACCAGTGGTTCAATCACTGGTTACTAACATATTGACATCTTAATCAACAAGATCGATTTAGTCAACCGCAGTTGTGGTTTGAAACTAGCACATTTGTATCCATATGGTTCGTCAAGAGGCTCATCATCAGGCATTATATATGTATGGTAAGCACTTTGCTGTCGTTGGTTCCATTGAGTTGCACTGGACTTTCAGCAGTAGATAGGGTAGTTATTTCCTACCCTGCTTTGCATTTTTTTCATAAGTCAGGATTTTAAATTTTTTCATTTTTCATTAGTTTTAGGGGCTGCACCAAATGCCGAAAGAGATGATGAGGGTGATATCGTTATGGAGGATGAAACTAAAACTGATTCCAACATTGTGAACTCTTTGTTACCAAATAACAATAAAAGATCGGATGATGATGTATCCAAAGAGGAGGAGAATCTTACTGATGTGTCAAATAGTCCCGTTAATAACCAAGTTAGTCCTTACCCCCCTTCATCACCTGGAATTCAACTGGTTGAACCATCGGAAGGCAGTAGAAGCCCTAATAGTGCGGTAAAACAATTAGCTACAATTAATTCTCAAAGTATTTTATCCGATGCTACGAAATCAATAACGGTAAGCTTATTGAAGCTTGTAAGCGAATTTCAGTTCTTTATCGTCCCGCTACTGCTTGGTGTTTAGACTTATTGTAGACTTTTTCACCTTTGAAATCAAAGATACTTTACTTCTGTTCCTCCCAAGTTGTTTCACTTTATTGGAAAGTAAGCTTTCCTGCACAGTAGACTCATTTGTAGCGAATGAGTTATTCTATAAAAAGCACTATTTTTGAAGAAAAACCAGGAAAAGTAAACTTTTGCGAAATTTTTAAGTTATTTTTTACGTATAACTTTGACCAATTGGCATGTATTGTAACTTTATTGAAGTTGATCCTCCTACTTATTCTATGCCACATGTTTGATGTATATTTGGTTTCACGAATGTTGGAACTTTCGTATTCAAACTGGTGTGCACCAACAGCCTATCCATCCGTTATCTCAGCAAGAATTTTGTGAGTTATTCGCTTCGTTGTCGGATGAAGAACAAAGAGATGAAACGGTAAGGAAATATTTTGATTTCATTTCTGTATGTGTATATATTAGTTTCCTCCTTTTTCAGCAGTTCCAAGTATAGTTATTTAGCGTTTACTTCCTACCTTAAATAAGATGTATTCTTTTCCGTAAGTGTTTAGTAGTTTTGCAGAACCTCCGAAATTAGACAGTTTTTTGGCCAGTTCTTCCACCTAGTGTGTACTGATACTCATTAAGTTAGCACTCTAGCAACTGTCGGCTTGTTACCTTAATTTTTGAAATCTCAGTGAATAAACTCGACTAACTTCTAACTCTGATATGAGCAGTTTTGTTACTAATTCCAGAACATAATTTAATTTTTGAAGCTTCATGTGGTTGTGGGGTTGTAAACGGTCTAGGCGGTGTATATTTGTGTAACTGTAGCTCTAGCTTTTAAATAGGGTAATTTTACTAACTTAATCATTTTATAAAACTATATTTTGAAGTCTCTAAAACCAAAAGTATCTTATTTACATCAGATCTACGAAACTATGATTCATGTGCTTCGGTTCAGCTTGCTGACAGTGTAATTAACCGCCACTGATTAGGACGAGCTGTTTGATGGAACCTTAAAGGATGGTTGATAAATACACAGGTTTCGGCCTCAAACCATTGATATCATTGATGAGATTAATGCCACAAGATTGTTTGTTTAAGACGATAGAAAATACATAATGATTCAAGTGTTTGGGAATTAGTATTGCTGACTCTTGTATTTCACTTACAATGCCGCTCATACTTCGTATGTGGGTGCCTGTAAGGAATGGTCATATAATCGCATTAATTGCAACGTGGTCTGATTGCAGTCCCTCTCTGTTTGCTTGTGTTAAGATATCTAATGCAGTGTGATAAGTTCATCAGTCTCATGAAACAGTTGGCATAATTTAATTTAATAACATTGAAAAGAGACAGTGTCAGTCATCTAGAACATATACGTAGTATTAGAAGGATATTGTCATCTATGAAATCCTTTAACCTGTTTAGTCATTCTATCATCATAGTAAACTGTACTTTTGTTGCCTTGTTCTGATGGCGCTGTCGTGTAATCTCTTAACGCAAAACACAGTAGTTCATCATTTCCACTCAGCCGTTAGTCACATTCCCTCAAGGTTTTCACCGTGTTTGAGTTCGTTGTTAACTCATAGGCTTAGCATTGTGCATGTTTAAGAGATAATTATAATGTCAGAAGCGTGAATTGAAAACCTCACACAGTTCTCTCGAATGGGAAACTCAAACAATCTGGAATCACCTAACCTCTACTTTTACAGTATCTTACATGTTGTCCTTTACTGCTTTCACTTAGTCTTTCCTGGGCTACTGGAAAAAGTCTATGTCATTTTTAGAAGGGTATTAAAGGTTGTCAGTATGGCAAGTGGTGTGCAACTTAGTCAGATTGTTACTACATTAGTCAATAGACATCTCAACTCATGTGAGAAATGGTCCAAATCCATATTGTTTGACCCGCAACAACCCCTCTATTTTCAACTCTCCTTGCATCTCATTGGAGAGGAATAGAAATCATTATAAAAGATTATATACTGGTACAACTAAGTATAAAAACTCAACGAAAACATACCTGACCCCCGTCCAATGTGATAGAGATAATGTCAAACAAAATCATTGGCTCTTTTATCCTCTCCTATTTGTAATTTATGGTGACACTATTTCAACTAACTTATCATTTTAGATATTAACACTATTATCATTATTTTACACTTTTTGTACATTTTTGACTTTAAACAATTGGTTCCCTTTATAAATTTCGATAGAGAAAGGAAGACGAAATTTGCAGTATAAAATGATATCATTCTATTCCACAGGTTCTCATCAGCTGCAGACTACCTGAAATTACAATGGTTATATAAATGATAATAACATACTTTAATGTTTGAGTAGTAGTAGAGAAGAGATAAAATTGACGCATCCAAAAAAGAATGAAAGCATTACAATTTTTAGTTTAAGTTATCATCATCAATTTATACACTTTTAAAGTTGAAAAGAGGGGGGAGGGGTAAGACAGAAAACAGAAAAATTGATTAACAGAAACAGTGTTAGCTTGTAGGTTCACATAGCAACTCCAAAAAACAAAGGTGGTTACAGTTTATGAGATTAAGATTTGTTCAGTGAGTTGAGATCACTGAATTAGATGACTAATTATTGTAATCAAAATCAAAATTCAGTTACCAAGGGAGTGAGAGGTTAATCACACTCTCTTTCTGTATGCATAAGTCTGGTTTAAATCGTTTGATTGCGATCGCTTCGGCAAATCGTAGTAAATTTGCTGTCCTTTGTCTATTTAATATTTTGAAGGACTTAGAAATCTCTACGAGATGTCCGGTATCAACAATATGTCTGGTAATTGCACTCTGAGAATATTTGCTTCCTTTCAGGCATAGGTTTCTTGGAATATGTTCAGAAAACCGGATAGAAGCCCTTCTTTCTGTCCTTCCAATGTACTTGCTCCCGCAAGTGCACGTAAATTCATAAACGCAGTTGGAGGTGACATCAGCAGGGTATTTATCCAGTTTTGAGTGGATTATAGAAGGAGTGGTGCTGTATACTGTTATGAGTTTTGCTGCCGGGAAGCTTCTATTTATTGCTCCTTTCAGTCTTCTGTCAATCTTTTGTGACACTGCATCTCCTTTGAATGGGAGACAAATAAACACTTTTTTTCTTTTCTACAGTTGGATGCTTTTCCTTCTTATCTTTTTCTCTGCTATACTTCTGTATAAATCCCTTAGGGTATCCATTTTCCCTCAGGCATTTCTCGACGAAATCTAGTTCTTCTTCGACCTTGTTTGGTGAACATAGCTTCCTGGCTCTGTCGTACAAAGTCCTCACTAATCCACGTTTATAGCTTATGGGACAAAAGCTGTTATAGTGAAGATATTGTCCAGTTCAGGTTTCTTTTCTATAAATGGACTTTTCGATCATACCTTCGTTTGTTCTTTTTACATTTAGATCCAGGAAATTGAACTCATTTTTATGTTCATATTCCATAGTGAATTTGATATTTGGATGGATCTCATTTAGGCGATCATATAATGCCGATGCGTGATCCATGTCGTTGCAAACAACAAATGTGTCATCAACATATCGGCGATAGTAGGTTGTTCCATTGATAGCAGAACTTAGTTGTGTCTGTTAAAGGTATCCCATGAAGATATCAGCCAGGATAGGTCCCAGAGGTGAACCCATCGCGACCCTATCAATTTGTCGGTAGAGTTAATTGTTGAATTTGAATTGTATATCTCTTGTGCAGAGCAGCAGTAGTCGCTTCATCTGTTTCCGGTAATGGTAGTAGATCCATTTGTTTATAAATGATATCAATCGTTTCCATCAGTGGTACGTTTGTGAACAAGGAGGTCACATCATACGATACCATGAGTTTGTCTGATATGTCAATATTGTCAACTTCCTTGGAAAATTGGTAGCTATCCTTCAGGCTATGGGTTGCAAATTTAATTCGAAGTGGCTCTATAGAATCAGCTAACCACCGAGCTAACTTGTGGCATGGTGAGTCAATCATTGACAAGATTGGTCTTAAAGGCACATTTGCTTTATGGATTTTTGGTAGGCCGTACATTGACGACAGGCATCCACTTTTTGACTTCAGTTTATTGTATGTTTCGCTGTTGATTAGTTTCTTCATTAGAAGTTCTTTGAGACATTTATTTACTCTAGTTTCAAACGACGTTGTGGCATCTCTTTTGTTGTCTACTTGGAATTTCTCTTGGCCGCTTAGAATTGTCATCATTTTATGAATATAAATTCCAAGTAGACAACAAAAGAGATGCCACAACGTCGTTTGAAACTAGAGTAAATAAATGTTTCAAAGAACTTCTAATGAAGAAACTAATCAACAGCGAAACATACAATAAACTGAAGTCAAAAAGTGGATGCCTGTCGTCAATGTACGGCCTACCAAAAATCCATAAAGCAAATGTGCCTTTAAGACCAATCTTGTCAATGATTGACTCACCATGCCACAAGTTAGCTCGGTGGTTAGCTGATTCTATAGAGCCACTTCGAATTAAATTTGCAACCCATAGCCTGAAGGATAGCTACCAATTTTCCAAGGAAGTTGACAATATTGACATATCAGACAAACTCATGGTATCGTATGATGTGACCTCCTTGTTCACAAACGTACCACTGATGGAAACGATTGATATCATTTATAAACAAATGGATCTACTACCATTACCGGAAACAGATGAAGCGACTACTGCTGCTCTGCACAAGAGATATACAATTCAAATTCAACAATTAACTCTACCGACAAATTGATAGGGTCGCGATGGGTTCACCTCTGGGACCTATCCTGGCTGATATCTTCATGGGATACCTTTAACAGACACAACTAAGTTCTGCTATCAATGGAACAACCTACTATCGCCGATATGTTGATGACACATTTGTTGTTTGCAACGACATGGATCACGCATCGGCATTATATGATCGCCTAAATGAGATCCATCCAAATATCAAATTCACCATGGAATATGAACATAAAAATGAGTTCAATTTCCTGGATCTAAATGTAAAAAGAACAAACGAAGGTATGATCGAAAAGTCCATTTATAGAAAAGAAACCTGGACTGGACAATATCTTCACTATAACAGCTTTTGTCCCATAAGCTATAAACGTGGATTAGTGAGGACTTTGTACGACAGAGCCAGGAAGCTATGTTCACCAAACAAGGTCGAAGAAGAACTAGATTTCGTCGAGAAATGCCTGAGGGAAAATGGATACCCTAAGGGATTTATACAGAAGTATAGCAGAGAAAAAGATAAGAAAGAAAAGCATCCAACTGTAGAAAAGAAAAAAAGTGTTTATTTGTCTCCCATTCAAAGGAGATGCAGTGTCACAAAAGATTGACAGAAGACTGAAAGGAGCAATAAATAGAAGCTTCCCGGCAGCAAAACTCATAACAGTATACAGCACCACTCCTTCTATAATCCACTCAAAACTGGATAAATACCCTGCTCATGTCACCTCCAACTGCGTTTATGAATTTACGTGCACTTGCGGGAGCAAGTACATTGGAAGGACAGAAAGAAGGGCTTCTATCCGGTTTTCTGAACATATTCCAAGAAACCTATGCCTGAAAGGAAGCAAATATTCTCAGAGTGCAATTACCAGACATATTGTTGATACCGGACATCTCGTAAAGATTTCTAAGTCCTTCAAAATATTAAATAGACAAAAGACAGCAAATTTACTACGATTTGCCGAAGCGATCGCAATCAAACGATTTAAACCAGACTTATGCATACAGAAAGAGAGTGTGATTAACCTCTCACTCCCTTGGTAACTGAATTTTGATTTTGATTACAATAATTAGTCATCTAATTCAGTGATCTCAACTCACTGAACAAATCTTAATCTCATAAACTGTAACCACCTTTGTTTTTTGGAGTTGCTATGTGAACCTACAAGCTAACACTGTTTCTGTTAATCAATTTTTCTGTTTTCTGTCTTACCCCTCTCCCCCTCTTTTCAACTTTAAAAGTGTATAAATTGATGATGATAACTTAAAGTAAAAATTGTAATGCTTTCATTCTTTTTTGGATGCGTCAATTTTATCTCTTCTCTACTACTGCTCAAACATTAAAGTATGTTATTATCATTTATATAACCATTGTAATTTCAGGTAGTCTGCAGCTGATGAGAACCAGTGGAATAGAATGATATCATTTTATACTGCAAATTTCGTCTTCCTTTCTTTATCGAAATTTATAAAGGGAACCAATTGTTTAAAGTCAAAAATGTACAAAAAGTGTAAAATAATGATAATAGTGTTAATATCTAAAATGATAAGTTAGTTGAAATAGTGTCACCATAAATTACAAATAGGAGAGGATAAAAGAGCCAATGATTTTGTTTGACATTATCTCTATCACATTGGACGGGGGTCAGGTATGTTTTCGTTGAGTTTTTATACTTAGTTGTACCAGTATATAATCTTTTATAATGATATCTATTCCTCTCCAATGAGATGCAAGGAGAGTTGAAAATAGAGGGGTTGTTGCGGGTCAAACAATATGGATTTGGACCATTTCTCACATGAGTTGAGATGTCTATTGACTAATGTAGTAACAATCTGACTAAGTTGCACACCACTTGCCATACTGACAACCTTTAATACCCTTCTAAAAATGACATAGACTTTTTCCAGTAGCCCAGGAAAGACTAAGTGAAAGCAGTAAAGGACAACATGTAAGATACTGTAAAAGTAGAGGTTAAGTGATTCCAGATTGTTTGAGTTTCCTATTGGAGAGAACTGTGTGAGGTTTTCAATTCACACTTCTGACATTATAATTATCTCTTAAAGATGCTCAGGAGTATGTTCCACCCTGTTTTTGTGAAATTTTTTTATTCATATTGTAGGCAGGTGAACGGAATATGCGAAATAAAAACTGATGTTATCTGTTCTGCGTTTATTGCTCTTGCTTTGTTTAACAAGTGTAGGTTTTATGGTAATGAAAAATAGCCCGTGTGATGACATGGGGATGTCATGTTTTCTGTTAACCGGTGAAATCTCATTACAAATTGGTTTTTTATCATTGATGAATTTCATTACATATTTCTAGGCTCGTTTTATCACTCGCACATTAACCGAAGCTCTGCTTGTTGTTACAACTGAACTGATCGACGACGTAGCACATGAGGCACTAACTTTGGAAGCTATTTCAGGCAAACCCGATAACAGAGCGCGGAAGAAAGACTCATCAACCGATGATTCGCCGTATCCTCTTTTAGGTGAGTTAACAGTACCCATTAGTGACTCATGTGTTATGTGCTTTATAACTGACTTCTTGTCGTTTAGTGTGCAGAAGTTTGAATTCAAATAAACCTGGAAAGATATCATTTTATTTATTGTCATTCAAACATGTATACCATTACTGTTCTTTTTCACTTTCGCTATTTCAAATGAAGTTATCAGGTACTTGATAAAGTGAACTACGATTCACGCGACTTCTGTTATAAAAATTGTTTGCGCGTTATCAGTCTATTTGGTTCTTTGTCATGTGTTTGAATCGCAGCTGTTTCAAGGAAAATGCTCTCAAACATTGACCTATTTTAGCTATATAAGTAATATATTTACTAACTGTAATTGAATTCTTATATGTATTATCAGGTTTTTGTAACTACTGCTCACATGATACCGAACCGCTGGACCAACGGAGATAAACCGTTTTATCTAAATTTTCACTACGGTTTATCTCTTTAGCTTAGATGCTGGATTCAGAAACTAGTGGTATTTGTTGTGTAATACATGAAGTACAGAGGTGAATAAAATAGTATACCCGGTAGGATTTTTTTAGTAGTTATTTACTCAAAATTGTCCCAGGTAGATTCGAAGAACTTCCGCAACTGTGGACGTACAAATGCTTTGTGTAACGCTGTTCAAGATTTTCAACTTACATTATGTGTGCATATTTATATGGTTGTATCGAGATATTATGGTGTTTGTTTCCTGATTCTTGTCAATCTGAAGCTCTTGCTGAGATCTTTAACTATGAAAGTGTTGAAAACTGACTCACTCATGTTTAAAGTTATGATAAATAGGATATTTTTACCAGACATGCCTTACACTACCATTTTAGTTTGATTTTCGTGTAGATCTACTATTGAATATTCATTATTTCCATCTATCAGGAGTAGAGCTGTCATCATTTAAAAAGCTGGTTGTTTCAGACTATGTAGGATGTGATCTTCCTGGTGCAGTTCAAATTCTTGTTTAATGCATTGGTCCAGTGATGTTAAACGACAAGAAATTCAACAGTTGCATCAGCTAATAAGAGATGGTGCGATAACCCAGTGGAGATGCCATCCCTCCTTGATGACAAGTCCCGATTGGGAGAGAACGTACGTTCGCAATGCCAGCCATCACGAGTCGAATAACATCCAAGTGTGAAGCGTTGAATAAATTGTCTGCTTCATTCATTATGGAGTAGGCAGAGGCTAATAAACTTGTTAATAAAATCACGTGGCAGATAAAAATAATTCCTTTCGTCACAATTGTGTCTCTAGGATATACGTAGAAGGACATGGAAACTAGACACAACATAGTTATGGGACTTTTTGGTGATTTGTTCTCTGAACTGGATGGTTCGCTTCCAAGTTTTCATGTCGTCCGTTTGCACATCTTCAGTGCTAACTTCGGTGTGGCAATAAAAGCTTCTGAATTCAACTATCCACAGCATATAGACTATACAAGTGGCAGTGATAACGTCGAAATTAGACGTGAATTGTTACACCTGAAAAATAAATTTGTGAATCGTCGAGTAGTGATTCAATTAAGTGGTGATACGACTCACAATTATATCATTCTGTATCATATTTGAAGTCTCAATATTTCCTCTTAGTTCCTTGTCGAATCATTTTCTTCAACCTTCAGATTCGTACTTTGCAGTTTTATTCTACATGTTCACCTTTTTGTGTGCTTAAAATGGGGTAGCATGATGTGGTTGGCTCAGTTCAGATATTTCTTTCTACACCGTCTAGTCTTATTATATTTTCGAGGCAGACTGAGTTCTCATAAATGCTACTATTTAGTTTGCATCTAGTTGTTAGTTTAAGCCTTCGAAAGTATTGAGAAGTCTACATGCCATTCTATGGTGTGGGCTACTCGTAACAATATACACAAGTAACATTTATGACATGTCTTGAAAAGACAATCATAATTTATTTTCGACGGTAAAATAGCTCGAGAAAATAAAAAATAAGTGACTAAAGCAACAGCAAATGAAGCGTAGACTATAGATTGAACAAAATGGACTGAATATTAAGTTTAGTATTTTATCAAAGGTAATTGTAATTTGTTCAAATAAACATTGTATCTGTTCTCACCAGTTTTGTTTCTGTAGCTGAAGCTAAAATACTTAGATTATCTTTTCCAGTGTATGCATTTTGGCCGGTGGTTAGTCGCTAATGAAAGGTAGTTATTTCGTTAGAGCGTACAGTATACTTACTGAAACCATGAGGTTATCATTACTATAATTACTTTTCAAAGTTTGATTTTGTATCGAAATTTCAGTAACTATCATTCCGTTATTACTTTTTGATAGGCTTAGTCTCATACAATACTGAAAGTGAGTCAGATTCTGATCAGGAAATGTTGGGTGGCAGGTCACGCCCAGATTCTTTACCAGGTACTCTACCAGTTGATGATGTAAGACGTGGTTCTACATCACAAAATTGTGGTAATAATGAAGATGATCAAAGTAAGTTCCTGTTTTTTTGGTTTGATTATTTATGCATAATACGGTCAAGCTTTCAGAAGTCCTCGTTGGATCTTTCAAGTAGCTGCCATGTTGTTCAGAATCTCAGACATCGTGACGTCTTTTGTAAACCATGTTTACCGCCACATTTCTAACTGTTCTAGTAAACGGTAATATACTGTCTTGCGTTTGCTCTAATACAGTGTTAGGTGGCTAGTTCTGTTGACATTTTGTCTATTCTTACCAGCTGTTCAATGTGAGGGGTGACATTCCTTTGATTTCTTGTGGTAATTACACTAGTCTGATCAGTATTTAAATCTTTCCGAAACGGGTAATGACGTTTCGCCCGTGGATTTGAAGTCGTTTACTGATGAAGTTCCTGAAGTCAATTTTGTTAGCCGTAAGTTTTGAAGCTCTCATTTAATAGGGTGGGTATACGCAAACGTTATGTTCTGTGCTAGGTAAACAGTATTTTTTGTATTTCCTTCGCAAAGTGTGTGTGTAAAAGGGCTGTTTTAGTATGGAGACTATTACTTTGCTTTGTCGTTATCAGTATGCGCCTGTTCACATTCAATCTGTTGATTTTCCGATTCTCATTTAATACTAACATTGTTTTATATCAAAATTACCTTTTCACTGTTCTACAGAATACGTTTCTGAATATTTTTCTGTTACATATATAATGCTGTCAGCCTCTAAGTATTACTTCATTTTACAGTTTTTATCTTTCAAAAGTTCGATTTCATTGCTGATTGTGGTGAAATTTGTATTGAATTTCGAGTCAACCGTGTAGATTTTTTTCTTTGCAGAATTTTCCACTACTGAGCATGTGTTTTGTGTATCGTTAACTAAGTGTTCTTTAAAGCAGTATCAGTTCGTTAATAGCACTAATAACCCATTTTCTGTCTATGTAATTTTTTGTATATGTCTAAGCTGTAAAAAGTTTGTGCACTAGGATATAAAAATTGCTGCTTACGTTGCTTTAGGTGTCTGTCTTATTCGAGAATTTTGTCGATTTCTGTCTTTGTTGAACAACATACCCATACAAAATAAACGGCTAGATGCTCTCTATTCAGTGGATTGTAGTTTTTCTATGTATCAATTGATAGTCATTTCTTATTATGTTAGCTACTAGTGTGATAAAGATTGACTAATCGCCAAAAGAAATCGAAATCACAGCATTGTAAGTGTCACCTGATACTTTCAGCGTTTGGATTTCTCATTAACTTCAGAATTATTCGATGCATTTTGAGTGATTATTGCTGAAAAATGTAATTAAGAGTAGAATACTAGTATTGAAGGAATCTTAGAACACTATTTAAGCAAGCAAATACGCATTGAATTCTCATTAGGTTTTACACTTACATCATAAAATATCAGTCATAAACATTTGAAACAATGGGGATCAATAGAATCAAATATCACCAAGCAGAATGTAAGTAGAATCATAATAAACTGTGAAACTCAGATTAAAATATAACTATAGCACTGTTAACTTCATTATCAATCTCATACTGTGCTATAGTGGCATACTTTAGTCTTCATTTCACAATCTGACATTATTTAAACAGTTAGTATACTCCTTTAAACCGAGATCTCATTTCCATTTTTGATTTTGACTCATGCCCAAGTGCTTGCAGAGTAGCACTAATCAGTGTATGAGTGTAGTAACCATTTTTCTTCTTTTTGCATTTAAATTTTCTTTGGCCTTTGTTTCATTTTACATAGATTAGTTTAGGATTTGGACAGCGTTTAGATGGTTCATATGTCGAGGTGTTCCCGAAGTGAACTTCATGCTCAATAGAGTACCCACATAGTGTTGTAGTTTTTACTAGGATTATTAGTTTTAGGCATCAAATTGAACGAGTTCACCTCACCCAGAAATAACCTTATTTGACGCACTAGATAAGATTTTCTCATTCTAATCACGACTTCTCACATGTACCTGCTGCAAAACGTCAGATGACTTCGCTAATAAAATCTCATCTATATCTCCTGTTGAATCCCTTTGTCTTGTTTAGCAGTTCCTATGTTTGAACAAAGAAAGAACTTTGCACCAAAATTCTCAAATACTTCAGTTATTGATCAATAGAGGTGAAGGACTTTAATACCACATGGTTAAATTGCTTAATGGAAAAAAAGAAGACGCAGTTAGTGTTTAAAATCAACAACGCACACAAGGATTCAATAATTTAGTTGAACAGTAGACGAAAAATAATCGAGATTATAAGTAAAGAGAACTTAAGGGTATTGAGCGATGTTGACGAAACCAGATATAATTACAGTGTGTATAACATGGTGAGGCGAGAATAGCAACAGTCCCCTTCTGACTGCATAAATTCGGTTTTAGTTGCTAAATGGTAATGGCTACAGCGAAGCCTAACAATCTGGCACTCTCCTAAACTTTACTGAAAGATTGTAACATGTTAATTTCATGGGCCCAAATCCTTTCTATTGGTCCCATGTATGTGTTTTGGGACAAAGTAAGTAAAATAAATGGGGGACTAATCAACCTTGGTAAACGATTTATTATGTGGATTGCGACTAACTTGACAGCTGATAAATTGGCTTGAGAGCAGCATTTATTACGTATTTAATTCTTTCAGATTCTTCATCACTCTTTGAGTCCGAGCCTTAGGAAGATCCAGAAAGCGATATTTTTTAATTTTTAGTGAATTCACGTGTCTTGGTAAATAGGCTGCCACATGAGATGTGACAACTTTAACTGCTTTACTTCTGTATTGATTTCTGTGGTTAAACTCAGTCAGTCAGTATTATTTAGGTCAAGTAAGCAGGAGGTATGTTTCATGTGAATACTTATAATGCATGTCGTCAGCATACCCTTTGTAAAATTTAAATTCATCGGTCGCATGTCTGTCCAAGGTATACGATAGGATGGGATCTAATTATTATTCCCTTGGGTTCCTAGTGGAACATACGGTTTCAACTGCACGTCTTCACTTGCTTCTGTCTTCTGCTGTACTTTTCACCTGCATCCATGTTAGTCCATACTGTTTCAACTCCTCTTCACACGATCTCCTCCATGCCACTCTTGAACGCCCAACTCACCACTTCCCTTTCGGGTTCCACTCGAGCGATGGCCTGACGCGCGATGTCACCCAACGGCCTCCCCAACGAGTGTCCATTCCATCTCCACTTTCTCCTGCATATTTGTTGGACGATTGGTTCTTGTTTTATTTGTTCCCATAGTTTCTTGTTGGTGATTCTTTCCGGCCATCTGATCTTCAGTATAGAACGAAGACAGTTGTTGATAAAGGTCTGCAACAGGCTGTTGGAAATATTCTTTGTGAACCGCCAAGTTTCTGATCCGTATAGCAAAACTGACTTGACGTTTGTATTGAAAATCCGAATTTTGTTGTTGATGCTGAGTGACGGAGATTTCCAGATTGGTTTTAATTTGATGAATGTGTTTCTCGCCTTCCCGATTCTCGATATGACATCCTCGTCCGTTCCTCCTGTAGTCGAGACAATGCTCCCTAGATAAGTGAATGAAGTAACCTCTTTCATATTCTTCCCTTTGATGGTGATTGGCGCTGGATGTTGCTGCTGTTGTTGGTTGGTTATTTTGATAACCTCCGTCTTGTCTATGTTCACCTGGAGTCCTGTCTTTGCTGCTTCTTCGACCAGTTTGTCGGATTTCGCTTGTAAGTCTTCGATTTTGTGTGACATCAAACATAAATCATCCACGCGCGAAATCCAGGTCTCCTAGGTTCTTCACGTCGGTCCAGGATATCCCTGTCTTCTCGTTTCCCACTGTCTGATGCATAATCCAGTCCACCACAATTAGGAATATCATTGGTGATAATAAACACCCTTGTCTGACTCCTGTGTTTACTCCAAAAGCCTCGCTGAGTTTTCCGTTGTGGATCAATTGACATGTGCCGTTGTCGTACAGCTGTTGAATAAGGTTGATGAATATTTGGGGTACGCCGTAGTACTCGAGTAGTTTCCAAATTACTTCGCGGTCAGCGCTGTCGAAGGCCTTCTCAAAGTCTATAAAGTTGAGGTAGAGGTTTGATTGCTATTCCTCTTCTTTCTTCCTAAAACCGTCGAACATGTTTCGTTGGAAATCACCTTCAAAGAGTTGCAAAGGTCTTCCACGCATGATTCCTTAGTGATGCCACGTAGTGTTTCCTGCTTTGCTCTGACAGTTGAGGTGAAAGTGTCCTTCAGTTTTTGAGTGTTGAACTTGCACTGTGGCCTATCCCCAGCTGTCCTCGAGGTTTTTAGCTTCACCTTGAAAGTCCCTTGTACTAGATAGCGGTCTAGTAGGCTCCATCTCCACTTCCTTGAGATTGAAATGAAGTCCATCTCGTTTTTGGTGTGTCCATCTGGTGAAATCCATGTCTCCTTGTGTTTGAACACACTGCCACCAAATCGCTGAAGGCGCAGAAGTCTGAAAAGAGTTCACCATTGTCGTTCATTTCACCGAGGGCCTCACGACCCATGGTGAGTTCTCTTCCTATATTGTCTCCTCCCAGTTTCGCATTCATATCACCTATCAGGATTCTGATATCGCTCTTTGGGACGTTGTCCATTACTGCTTGTAGTTGTCTATCTGGGATCTAATGGATTTTATCAGTCTGAGATAGCACATTGAACAGCACAAAAGTAGGTATTTCAATTCCCCTTCAGTGAAAGAAGTCGGTCGGGATGTTTACACAACTATATTTTGCCCCGCAGGGATATTTGTAAATAGTGTGGATTCATCGAACAACACCATGAATTTGTTGGTATATTTACAGCTTTTCACGAATGAAATTGATATATTACAATCATTTAGGATATTCAAGGTTCAAGACAGTGCCAGGTATCATTGAAGGTTTGTCACAGGATTTTAACCTTTAATTTTCATATACTTAACCGTTTGTAGTCATAAATTTTACACGAATACAATATGCACGAGAACTTGATTTAGGAGTAATTTTTGACAACAGGAAGAGTTGTCCATTGGGCTTAAAAGGATGAGCGCAGCAAACTCAGATATTTAGGCTACCTTTTAATAAAACAATTACTTTGATTTTGTCGGATGACTCTGATTTGAAACTAAAAAAATGAAGAAAGTGAGAATAAATTACAGAAAAAGTATGCATCTGATTTCCGGTCTTTTGGAATTCTTCGTAATTTGTTTTATATTCCAGATGATAAAACTGTAATGGGGAGTTCGAAAGTTGGATGTGAAAAACGACAGAAAAAACATGTTCATTCACCTAATTCACATCAAAAATCTCCGAAACGTCATGAAAAGGATAGGAATGATAGTGTCACAGCTTCGCGATCTCACCCTGAACGTTCGCGTAAAAGAAAAACGTCTTCACGACATTCTCATCGTACTCGTAGGAGTGAGTCTAATGATTCGTCAATACCTTCTGCCAAATCTTGCTCAAACTCCAACCATTCAAGCAGTAGAACATCTTCACATGGATCTAGTCGACATTCGTGTAGTCGAAGTGACTATGTTCGGTCACAAAAGTCACCTAAGAAATCACATCATTCGAAACATTCTCATCACAGAAGCCATCATTAGATTTTTCGAAACCGCTTTGTTGTTCGATAAAAAAATGTTCATAGGTGAGGTTTCAGATAGGTAATTTCATCATGCGGTAAGTGAGTCATTTTTATGAGCATTTTGTGCATTATACATCACTTGTAGTTTTTACTAATTCACAATATTACACCAAAAAGATGAATTACTGTTATTATCCGTTCTTGTTACTTTATAAAATTTGTTGTGTTTTGAGATGTACACTTATGTTGGGAAGAGGAATTAGGAATAGTATATATATGCTGATATTGGAGATGTAGATAGATCCGGTGCATAGCATGGTTTTTTAGTACAGTATTTTCATCATCAAATGCTTCATTCGGTATACCGTCACTTTTCACTACATTGTCAATTTATGCAGTCTTGAAGCATGGTACATGGAACGAATGTAACATGTGATACTTCCTCTGTTATCCCGCCATGACTTGTTTTCCTTCATTCTATACCATTTGGAACTGTTTTTCCTTTCGACTTTTTTATTTTACATATCCTATTACTACTGGAAATTCATCTCACTATAGTCTGTCAAGAAGAGCAGTGCCCGTACGCGGCCTAATCTCCCCCTTACATTCAAACTTCTCATTGTTGCTATCTAGAATTCAGTAATGAAATAGAAATATACCCATATCATATCATTTTAAGTTCGTAAGTTGTCCTTTATGTCTTTTCGAAAGTTTTACCTATTCCTTTATCTTTACTTTCAGGTATGCCCATCTCCTCGTTCACGTAACCATCAAAATACTAATATAATATCACTTTTCGTTTCAGTTCATTCATTTGTACAGAAAATTCATTTTTTTCATTTAAAGATAATATACAATTACCTTTCAAGTTTAACTTCTTATTGATTGAGGAGCTCCAATACCTCATCTAAATCGAATTTAATAGTTTTCAATACCGAAATAAACAGTTGAATGAGCAAATGATTTATCATGTTGGTGTCTTGTATACGAACGTCACAATCCAACTTCAACCGTACCTATCAAATGATTTTCTCTACTAATTAATTTAAAATTATCGGTCATATAATCCTAAACTAAATAGGAGGAACGATTTTTTTTGTGAATTCTACTTCTGTTCACAACTGTGCATCTGCTTGCAAATGTAGCTGCTACTAATTAAGTGATTCACTGGTAAAGACTTATGTGTTTAAGGAAGTTGAGGTAAAGGGAGAGAGCATCTCGAATAAACATTCATCACAAATTGCGTCTCTACTGATGGTTTCTAAATAGAGTATGCGCTGAATACTGAGAGGCAATTACGGTGAAACTAGGCAGGAGAGTACTTTGTATCCGTAGATGGAAAGGCCTACGTGGACGGTCGAAATATAAGTTGCAGGTAGTGTTAAAAATACTATATATCTGATATTCACATAATACACAATGCAGAACAGGTTTTTATAATAGTTTATGCAAGCTCGTTACAAAGACAAAAATATCACTTGAGCACATCAAATTCATCTTCTTCAAATGCTTTACGGGCACGTCGCAGTTCTTCACTGATAAGCAGCAACTCCTTGACGCGAGAGAACTTTTTCGAATCGCGTCGGACAAGGTATGTGACATCTTCGACTGAGATTTTCCCCGGTCGACCAACTTTCAAAGCCTTTTTGGTCTACAGTTAACAAAAAAAAATTATAAATACTTTGATGAAGTCTAGAACGATGTGTTGTTATTAGACATTGGGTAAAGGAGTTCGTTGAATCCTGATAAGTAAATAGAACCTTGAATTCCAAAACAAAAACGGGAGACCATTAACTTAATTTTACCAACTTTCATTTGGGAAAGGGGAATTAAAATGAATCAATTTCACTATGTGAATTTGTAAACTCGTCTTACTTGATATTGTCAAATATGGTATGGATGTGTTCGAAAACAAACAAAGCTATAGCATCAGTGAGTGTGTCATGTACACACAGTTTCCTCAGATAGAGTTCAGGGACTGCCATGTGTTGAAGTATCGAGATAATGGGAGCATTTAAAACTTCACCAACTATGTTTAAACTTGAGTGGGTAGTATATGAATATCACGACATAGGAAAGACAGGTATTAACCAAGTTATAATTTGTTGTTATCATTCAATATCCACCTGGCCTGAATGTCTAACTTTGCTCATGCAAACCTGTTACCAAATAACTTTTCCCAGGAAACGAATATTGACACTTACGTGGTGGGAAGTAATCCGAAAGAATTGGCAGACTACAGGTTCATAATCACACAACCTTCACAGCTTATACTGAAGGTATATGGTCGAGCAGCCATGCTGTCGTGTTACCTCTGATTTTCCCTGCTGGATATCTAGTAAACCAAACACATTGTGGTCTGAATAACATCAACCGTAAAATATATTTATCATAATTACTCCGATTCGCTTTTCTAACCGTCTTCTAATCCATATTTAGTTTGAAGGACAGTGAATGCGTATTTCCTTCTCTTCTTCCCGAACATGCTTCCTTTATAATATGACCCAGACGACAGATGGAAATCAAGAATATTTTATGGTTGATTATTTAGTGTTGAAAGTCTTAGCAGCAGAGAATAACACTCTACATGTGCAGTGAACACGGTTATTCATACTAGTCGCAGAAACAAAAATAAGCACTGAAATTTTAATGGTTTTTTAGTAGCTAAAACCTTACCATTTCTAGAATATGTCGAACTGCAATATCTTCGACTAAAGACACAGTTTCAGGTAGTGGGTTCTCATCGTCACCAAAAGCGTACAGCATTGAACGTACTGTTGGGAAATTTTTTGAAAAAGTAAGCATTAACTAAATTGTATTCTTTTTACTTTCACGAGTGAACATTCGTTTTTTTCCACGGTCGTACGTTGCATCTTGTTCTTCTTCATCTTCTAGAAGCTAAAAACAGAGTACATTTTAGTTCCAACGAATTGAAGACTTAGAAAAGTCATTTTGATGTTACGTCTGAAAAACTTATGGCGACTGTCCTGTTCAGAGGTGTTCAAATTCCTATTAAATACACCTCACCATAATTACGTAATTATTATTTATTTAGTGATTATTGAGTACATTAAAAAGTCATCGTAAGAACTAAACTGATGTTAAGTATCAAGTTTCCAACCTTTGTCGAACACTGCTGAGTGATATTTCTAAACACACTCTAAATAAATCAACTGACTACTTGTTACCGTAATGACTTAAATATATTTTTTCTAAAGTCTTGCAGGTGTAAGCAGCAATTCCAAGGCATTCAGAACGTCAAAGCTGTTTTAGGCAAAGGCGCCAATGTATAGTGTTGAGCCCATAACTGGTTAATACAGCAAACCACCTTGTAATAGTTTCGGTGACTCTGTAGTTGGCAGTCAAAGTTTTAAATCATCGAGTAACATGAGTTAGTATTTGAAATGTTACAATATCACATATAGTACATAAAAGAATAAACAACCAGATTGTATACATATAAATAAAGCTTCGAAACAAAAAAAAACTTATTCTACACAACGATGAGATAAACGGTAATTGAATTCAGTAACTAACACTTGCAGTGAACTCTAGATCACCCATTTACCTGCAAAACAAGCAAAAGACATGAAATTAGATAACATCAATATGCAACAAATTGAGTACAGTATTATTACATTAGTTGTTACTAACTGCGTTTAAATGCGTAAAATGATATTCGTGAAACTTCGTCTAACCAAAATTGCGTTAATAAAGAGATCAAAATTATTACGGGAATATTCGCAATATACTCCAGTGCAGCAAAGACATTGTTATGTAATGAGTTGGTTTTAGAGCTTGTTTTCTTTGGTGTTTAGTAGTCTCAAGATCTATGAATCTTTCTGTTTTGAAGGTATTTGGTGTCCAAATTTCCCTTGAAACTTCATAGAAGAAATTGGCCCTGGGTAGCTGCTTTAATTTATTACAGTAGTTGTCGTTCTAGTTCCTTACTTTACTCCAGTGAACAAAAGTTCGCAAACAAAATTGCAAAGTTTCCAAGTATTCGCAAATATACTTAGAAACAGCTAGGCAAAGTATCAAGCAGGTCACGTAATGACATATCAAAATGAAAATAGGATAGCGGGTAGTTAGAATTAGCTGGTGGATAAGATCACTTCAATTTACTATTCAACTGATATTGCTGGAGTGCTTAAAAATTTTTAGCTCTGAAGATGTTGCCGAACTCGATTATAAGACATAGTTGATCGAATGTCAAATCTCGGAGAAAACAAAAACAATTGCAATTTGCCTACTAAGCCTACAACTCTCCTGTTGTTTCCAATAAACACAAGTGAATTAAATGGATTTTACCAATAAGTCATGCAGTTTGCATCACTTCAGAGATTACTATGCAATTTGTCTCGTTTGGCGGTGAATAACAAAAAATTTCCTGAAACTTACTATTCAGTTTTAATAATTATTATAAAGCACAACAAACGGCAGGTCGTGCTGCTTATCTAACAGAAATTGCGCATCCCCTAATTTACTACGAATCGGCAAAAAAGACAAAATTATTTGGGCAGTACATACTATTCAACTGTAGCTTGAGTGTCAGTGGTAAAATTACTGATTTCAACGTGGCGGAATACTGATCCAAACCTAAAAAGGAGTAGATGCATAACCACAAACTATTGTAACAGTACACACAATTTCAATGATAACCAAATACAAGTTGAAATATTTAGAAAACTTCAAGACTTCTGAATAACATTTTATTTCAGACTTTAATTTACACTAAATCACACATGAGCTAGAATTACATACGAAATCCTTTCAAAGGTATTAATCTCAGGTCAGTTCACATGTAATGTATGGTTAAGAACAGGAGTACAATGCATGGATTAGGATGGATATGTGCGGGAAGATTTCTGACATAATGAATTCGTAAAGAAATCAAATTTCGTGCTGCAACACTAAAAAGCACCAGTTGCGAATATGCGACATGCGCAGACAACCATAAATATTTTTTTAAATCAGTTCGTATGATAATTATGAGAAGTAAACGGTAGAGTTTACCTAGTCACAGGCATTAGTGTCATGGTATAATCACGAAGATAAAAAACACTTATTTTTATATCTGTAATTAGATTAGAAAGTTATGGAAAGATGTCCAAGAGAACGAAGAAAGAATGGGATTAGAGATGAAAACCAACTACTAGGACTGCAATAATGCTGATATTGAAAACAAGCGGAAACAATCATAAAAATAATACTAATAGTTTCAGCTGAATTTAAACTTTGGAAATACAAAACAGACGGATGCTAAAATAAAAAGAAGTTCAACTTATTAACCGGTAAAAAGCAAACAACATTTATTGTTCAGAATCACAAATGAAGAAACAACACAGGGCATTCAATCCTAGAATAGATAGATAGCAAAGGCACGGAAGTATCTGCAAGAAAATATCAATACGAGGCATCCTTACAAAGGGAATGCAGCGGAAAATGCCAGAAGATTTTGTGTTAGATAGCACAGTTTACTCATGATTTCAGGTACCTAGAAAAAAAAATTTCGAGAAAATGATTTTGTAAAATAAAAAAAATGATGAAGCTCAAGTACGATGTAAGTTCCCTAATTCTCAATCGAGTGTGCATATTATAATGTCTAACGATCGTTCAATAACATCCTCGTGACCTATGTTCTAACTTTCAATTGACTATCTCGTAAGTACTTGATAATCCTTATCGAAATTTGGATGTGATTTTGAAACATTTTGCAGTTGTGCAACTTAACAGTATGCAACTCAACCATATAATTGGCATTACGTTGCAACGTACTGAAAATATTATGGAAAACATTACAATGAGGACAAAAGCATTGCTCGACATGTTAGTACCTTATCTAAAACACAGTCATATTTTTCTGAATCACGTAGTCAAAAGAAAATCACGTGAAATATTACTACTCTGCTCTTTGGGATGATTTTACTGAGACTACAGATATGCGTATGGTTTAGTCTGTGACGTTGCAGTGACCAGTAGGTTTTAGTCCCTTTTATTCAAAGGGCCTAATGCAGGTAATTTTTTTTATTTTTTTATTTTTTTATTTACAGCTTGATTCCACACCGTATTTTCAGTACAAGTGTGGAATTTTCAGCATGGATATCGGTAGCCCAAATTCAGGCCGACCATAGATATCGGGTGTGCGCCGGCAGGGGCTCGATCCCCGGACCATGTGCATGGTCAGCGAGAGTCCTAACCACTGTGCCACCGACGCACAAAATTAGCCCCGTGAAGGGCTGCCGAATAATGATTCGATTCTTGGTCGACGGTTCTTACCATGCAACGAATCACAAGAGTAAAACCGTGACGGTGCAAATTTTCTAAAATTTTACGCGTAATACTAACTCACTATTTAACACAGCGCCTAAGTCTTCACGACCTTTAGGTAAACCTGAAGCAAAATAAAATTAAACACTAAGTGTTCTAACTTGTCTACAGTTGCTATAAGAAAATATCACGATTTTGATTGAAATTCCAAATAATTCTCTGACAATTTCGAATTATATTTAATACATACTTAGCTGCCCAGTCGGTCCTGGAACTCGGATTTGAATGAAACGTAGGAGCAGGTCCTCTTGCTGACGTCTTTGAATGGTCGGTTCTATTTCCCGATGAAAATCCTGCTCCCGACATGTTCACATAACTGCGAAAGTGACCAACTTCTTGAGCCACAGTGTTATCGATTCCAGAACTAACAAACTTCTTTTCACCTAAACACAAAGTATAAAGCAGTAGTTTTGTAAGTGGAATACTCTAAAGAGTAATGCAATATAGGATACAGCGTCGTCACCTGACTCCAGGGTATTTTTGACGCTTGAAAAGTATGTCTGTTGCCGAGTAAACTTCCCGAGCTGAACTAGCAAGTACCGTAATTTGTTTGTTTTAAAAAACCTATGCTACAACAGTGTCAATAGCACAATAAATTAGCTGAATTATCATTTGAAAGACTACTCTCTAATGTTCAACACACTAAACAGTTTTCAATGTACTAAATGAACAAATTTTTCATGATATGGCTGGTTTATTAACGTAAAATGTGAGCGATTCACACTAGTTTTCGAGTGGTGATCGATTTTTAATTTCAACCTAATGAGCTGGCTGTGTTCATTTATATTCACAGACTGCTAAGGCGATTGGAATAAGATAACCTTAAATGGTAATGCTAACAAATACCAACCATCAAAGAGTTTACAGTGGGATACGAATCTAGTTCAATCAGCAAGTATGAATGACTGGTTTCTCACATCGCAGTTATAACTCAAAATGAGTCAAATAAAACTCCATTGCTAAACTGGAATATCAGAGCAAAGCATTCCATACAAAGTTGCCGTTAACAGTAGCGCCCTGACATCGGCTACACAGACCGATAATGCCTTAGATGAAGGAATATATCTGGATACCGATTGAAATCTACAGGCCTGTTTCAAATAATTTAGAGAGCCCATGAGTCCGAATACTCAACGTAGAACTTGGCACAAAAAGGTTACAGTTCTTCGAATGGCCACACTTCGTAAAAGCACACAAAGAGAAGAAATGCAAAGCAACCATAATAAAAGGGAAAGCATAATTGAGTGTAGAATATTTAGTTAATGGATTTAATATGATTACGAACAATCAACGTATCCACTTCATTGAGATAGGTCTTTTAGAATGTTGTCAACAGTCTCTTGGTGTTTCGTGGACCCCAGACAGGTAGTTTGCACCACTCTACGTGGTTCAAACCAAACACTTCATACGTTGATATTATTTACCCCCTGACCACCTCTAACTCTTACCAAAATTGACCTTATATCAATTACATTACTCGTTGTGCATGGCAATAGCCTGGCTTGTCAGTCATCTCAACTGATGCAACCTCACTTCCTTACTTAACAATTCACCCTATACCTCAGTATTACTGACCATATTGTACCATCTAATACGAGAGACAGAATTCAAACACCTCTAGCGAATAAGCTTGCTCAACATACCCTATATCGTTAAACATTACCACCAGACTCATATTACTTTTTTAAGTGGATAAATATAACAGGTTAATCATTACTAACTAACAGTCATTACTACTGTTTCTACAACTGACTACTCAGGATGGGTAATTCCTTTTAATCTAACCACTATTCGATCACGACACAGTTTATGTAGGATATGTCGTAGTAAACCGATGTGTTTTGTTTCGATCAAATCAAAAAAGCATGGGGAAATTGAATGTCAGCTCGATTCTGAAAGCTGGCAAGGTTACTCACATTGCAAAAGAAATCGGAAGATACGGCATAGAAATGCTAGGAAAATGTGAATGCAGAGGAGGACTTTCCACATAGTTGATTGGAGAAACAATAATCTACTCTGATCACCCAAATGACTAACCACGTGCACACCGAGCGATGATGTCAGTACCAGTACCCAAAGTTCTTATACAAAGAGAACCAATCTCCGCCAGGATAATGGCAGCAGGACCCAAATCGAACGAAAGGAAAATTGCAATTATCCAATTGCCACGCTTCTACAACTCAGATCGAGTGGAGAAGAGAGAGAACATCTATAGATAACTGCAAATAATTATG